GCACATATAATATAGACCTATGTATTTATGCAATATTTCATTCTTGTAGAATTTATATACTGTATGCATATTATGGCAAATACTGCAATTCATACTTTAAAAAAGAAATCCAGGTCTCCCTCCATTAGCAGCTTTGGTCTCTAATTAGAATAATAAAGATAAAAGACATTTTTAAATTTGGGACCACAGAAAAGTGGTCTTTAATTGGAGGTGGTCTTTAATTAGAGGGAGGACTGTATTAAAAAAAAACAAAAAAAACATTGTAGTTTAGTTTAGTTTTAGAAGGTACATCTTAGGATCCATCACCACAGAGACTGTATATAGACCAGTACACCGGGGTAGCCCCCTAATCTTCTCGAAAGATGTAGTAAGTGCTTTAAAGTGCACATGGGCCAAATGTGTACACTGACGTTATAGTCCTTATCCGAGTACACAGCGCCGATATTATGACTGTATGATATTAAGAAGATGCAGGTTGGAGTCGGCGACATAATAGTGGAGTAATATTGACACGGGATTGGACCTCACGACTCAATATACACAAATAAACACTCAACACCAAAACAGGAATAGTACACTCTCTAAACGTATCGGAAAGTAAAGAACAGGAACATACACTACAATGGTATATCATTGACAGAACATCAAACTCAGCAAAACAAAGGTGTCAGTTTGAATTATCACCACCTTTGCAGTATTCATTTCCATATCCACTTAAATTGTCTGGTAATCTATTTAAGGATTTTATAGTAAAATGTTTATAAATCAGCGAAGATTATTTTTGATCGGTCTATTTCTGGTTGAAAGTTAACACCTTATTAGATCTTTTCAAATGAACTATTCTAAATTTAAAATTTATTTTTGAGGTTAGTCCGATTATTTTTTCATCAGTGTATCTTTTAATAATACTTAATCAAAATTGAATACCGTGATCAAATTTTTAATAAAGGTGCTTCTGTGTCTATGTTTCGGGCGATAGTTGGCGCTGCTCTTCTTGCGTACCTGAGCAAAATGTATTCCCATCCCAGAAGTAGTAAGTATGCTTATATTTTCATTGTATTAAATAATTTATTTTATTTTATTTCAGGAATTCATTATGTAGGTTTATTTTTTTTAAGTTGTGTGAATGGCATATCAAAGGTGTTAAAATAAATTTGAATTTTATGAATGATACTGTATGAAACCGTTATTTTTGGCCATATTGTTATGTGTGAGCACTCAGGTTGTATGAAGGGAGAGAGACTAATGGTCTTAGATCCGCACAGGCCTCTGTGGTCTAAACGGTATGACGCTCGCCGAGACCTCTTCTTTCATACAACTAAGGGGTCATTCAAGTATTATGTAACGCAGAGGGGGTGGGGTATAGTGGAAAATGTTACAGTGTGTGACATAGGGGTGGGGGTGTTGCTTGAAGTGTTACATAACAAAATGATTTTCATGGGAAGAGAAGAAATATTAAATATTCAAACTTGTATGATATTACTTTATTGAAACATATTACACCAGTGTAATACAATGTAATGTAACACAGTTGTGTTGAATTTGTGAAATCAATAAACAATTAAGTTACATCTACCATATCAAAAAATAACAAAACATCCTACAAATTTGTAGTGTAGGACAAATTTGTA